TGCCATTTTCTCAGTGGCTTTGTTACAGATCTCTCTGACGAACACCAGATGACATGCTATATGAAACGCTGACATGCTATATTACATGCTAGAGACCTGAGCTCACTCTGTTTGGAGCTGTTTGACGTCGAACGCCAGATGATATGCAACAGCTGACATAAATCGCAAGCAGTGTTTGGATCAGATGCACTCCTTGCCACAAGGTGTCACCACGTGCCAGCTATGTGCTCCAAAGCCTGCTACCATTGTCACACCGTAGCTGATCATGCACTCTAGAATATCAACAGGTCAGAGCGACCATGTGTTCATCACATGTGGTCAAGGTCGTGAAGTGCACTGACGTTACTTTTTTCTCCCATGCAGTTCCTCCCTGTATAACTTCCTGTACGCTCGTTAGGACGAGGGAAGAGAGAAGCTGCTAAAAAAGTGTGACATATCTCTGAAACTCCACTTGTTGCCATCGCATTTTAAACTTTTGTGGCAATTAATTTGTGAGGTAACAAATTCCACTACTCAGGTCGTAACGCCAATTAGTAGGAAGAGTGGTTCCGAGCCTCTTCATGGACCAGTGCGACGTAGCTGTGAAAAGTGGCTGTGCTTCGACATAACAGTGCTTAATTACATTGCAGCCTTTCATTTTTATCTGAAATCTGCACTGCTGTGAATAAAGCAACATCTACATCATACCTTGTATATTTCAATGTAAAGGTGACCCCTGGACGCCTCATGTTTTGTCAATTGCCTTGAAGACCAACTCATGAAGCGACTCTTCCGGAGCTTGCCATGAATGACGTAGTTAGGGGGCCTGGCTTTGTATTATATTGTTCAGCGGCGTAAAGGTGAGCACCGCAACTTTCAATGCCACTGTGATGAAGTACTGATAAACAACGTACAGTAATTATCTAAAGGGCATTGTTACCACACATTATATGGGGAATATCGTAAGCAGTATGCATCTTGGAAGCTTGTAGCACCGGAAGCCATGAAGGAAGCATTAATCCAATAAGGATCAGGTTGGCACTTCATTCATTCAGGTGTGAGCACTAAACAAATTTATCACATACAGTAAAAGATCATCGCGAGATCAATGCAACCCTTATCGAGCTAGACAGAACTCATGGCTATGCCTTGCCCAATCAGCCCACATCAAATTTAAGGTGTACAGCGGCACAGACTACCCTGAAGTTGTAGGTTGATGTCTGGACTAGCCTATATGCTTGACGTGTAGCTTCTGATCCATTCATCAGCACTGGCAATCTCAGGTGTACACTTGCTGAAAAACTCCTCCGCTCCCCTTAAGCACTAAATGAAGGCTTCTACAAGTGAAGCGTACTGGCACTGCATGTGTCATGTTTGTAACAACTTAGCATTGTCTAAAAGACCCACCTCAGTGTTTAGAAGGTTATGTGAACAGCTATTACAAAACCCGAAACAGGTGGTAGTTTCAATGCCTAGTAACAGGGAGCTGCTTTGTCGATGCATCAATGGAGTAACTGCTGCATTCCAAAATTTAGCCCACATTACAGCAACAACAAAGACAGACAGACCAATTTACAGCACTCCACTACAACAGTCCTCACAAATAACAGTGCAGCCTTCCAATACAAAACTATCACTATATTCTCGAAGGAAGTGATGTCTGCGAAAAGACCAAAGCACTCCTGCTAAAATGCTATGCTGATTGCTAGACATTTAGTGACTGTTCTTAACGACGTGTGTCACATACCTAATGAACACACATGAAACCGCAAGCCAAGAACAGTACAGCACTGAACAAAGTTGCACAAGAACAATTGTGCCTACGTTCATATAAGTTAAACCGCATAATTAACGGCGCAGTGGTTCAGAGATTTTCCGCACATTTCGACATTTCTGTACCACTCCTATGGTGTGCATTTGAGCAACCTTGACTCCTGACGATACAAGCATTCTAATTATATGCAACTACAAGATTTCAAAAACAGAGCAGAAGAGATGTGTAACGAAGCGGTATCCGACACAGCTTCAATGTAAATAATGTGACCTGCCTTCGCAAACTTGTAAGGGCAAGGAACCTGTATTAATTCATCAGACAACTTGCATGGGCAAGTACACACGCAAAGAGGGTGGCCTATAGAGGCTTTGAAGTTATTTGCACTTTCCGGCAAACTTCGATTAACACTAAAGAAAGAGAAAATATCAACCCTGTCTGGACACAGCGACAGTGCAACTGCCAACTTAATGAGGCATCGCCTACACACAGTATAACATTAAATTGCAAGCAAGCTAGTGTACAAACGCATTCAAGTGACAATTCATGCCACTATTACAAAAACGGAGTGCCTCAACAGGAAGTTACATAATTCGTCACAGATATCCTATACTCGGGGACAATGTTTCTTGGCAGCACTGCGAAATCCACAGAATCAAAGTGCATGCCTGCTACCCTGCCAAAAAACAGTCCTCAAGTTTCCTGTTAATTTTCTCAGTTGCCCTGCTGAAATAAATGCTCCTCTATTCATTATGAGACTCAGGACAGTCGTGGGAAGTGGAAGATAAAATACAGTTATTGCTCACTTTGCAAGAATGCCTTCCATTTCTTTCCATTTCTCAGACAGCACTAGCACTTCAGCACACACTTTTTCCAAATAAACACTGCGTCCATGACATGGTGTGTCAATGGACGGCTACAAACAGGTTTTCCAAGAAAAATGTACCAGTAATACGACGCTTAAAACACAATCTGACCAATCTAGATCTTTCTCCAATTCACATTTTTCGTGCACATAATTTTCTCAACACAATAATGCGAGCGAGCACAACAGAAATCAGGCCTAGAGCTGTGATACTTGCAGAGAAACATGAATGTGCGGAAGCCTTGCCTCCGCAGCTGTAGCCTTCAGGCGACTGTCGAAACAAGTTGTCCCCAAGTACAGATGAACTGCACTGTACAAGCAAAACTAAGATACGTTGCAAGCCGACAGTGCATACCTAAGAGTGCCATGTTTAAGAAAAAAATCTTCACTTCAGATGACAAAAAAAAAAACAAAGAGAGATTTGTCGATAAACTGCAACATTTGGTGGATTGATCGAGAGAGGCTCTCATGACTTGTGAGGCAAATCACAAAGTTGTATCTAATAAGAAAATTCCACAAACTAAATCCTAAAGAAGTTCTTTCAAGGCACTCTCTTGCCAAACTGAAGTTATAAAGTAGCCATTCATGAGTTGATTTTCATATTATGTTCAGTTTCGAGGTATAGTGCTAGTGGACTGAAACACAAAAATTTAGTGCTAAGTAATGCACAAATGCTCGTTACCAGCATCTTCACTACCTCGCATATCTATGTAGTTATGAGTCGAACACTTATGCAAAGCCAACATTACCGGCCAGATCCACAGCGACATGGTGGTTTTTTCAATGAGTGCTCAGAGCAGCTGTTATCAGCTGTTATGCTATAAAAATTGATGTCGAATTTCACTCTGAGCGCTGCACATGTCCACAAAGTGTGAAAGACGCGAGGACATCACCACACTTGACGGGCATTGCATGGAGTGGAGGAACTTCATTTTTTAATTTTTTTCAGGAGTGTGTGGGAAAATGTTAGCTCGAAAACTGTAATTTACCGAAATAAAACATTGCGACTAGCTACTCAAGCAATGTTAAAATCTACAAGTAACCAATTTGAGCTTTTCAAATGTTGAATTCAGGCATTTTCTTCGAAACTTTTCTTTAGGGGAAAAAAAGAAAAGGAAAAGGGAAATGGGAGAGAAATAATGTGGGCTGTACACCACAAATCAGTGAATCTCGTCAAAAGTCAAATACAAGCAAAAAAGTTGAACAACAACGTCTTCAACACTATTTCTATACAGTCGCCAACCGATAATTCGGACATGCTCAATAATTCGGGCATGCTCGGTAATTCGGGCATGCTCGGTAATTCGGACATGCTCGGTAATTCGGACACGCTCGGTAATTCGGACACGCTCGGTAATTCGGACACGCTCGGTAATTCGCGCGCGTAATTCGGACCGTCGAATTCGGACACGCTCGGTAATTCGGACACGCTCGGTAATTCGGACACGCTCGGTAATTCGGACACGCTCGGTAATTCGGACACGCTCGGTAATTCGGACACGCTCGGTAATTCGGACACGCTCGGTAATTCGGACAGTCGCGCGGCACCGCCGATGGTCCAATAGCAGTAATGTGTAAAGACGACCGATATTTCAGACAGCTGCCAGATCTACATTCGATAATTCGGACCCTGCCCGACTGTCGCGCACGCCGAATCGGCAGCCATTATCTCCTCCGGCACTCAAACCATACAAAGTATGGCCTCAGAGATCAAAACGAAAGCTAATTGGCAATCTATGAGGCTTTATTTCCATCGCAACTTTATGTCTCGGAGATTTGTACTTGAAAATGCTGATTTTGGAAGCACGGCTCAACTGTGGGGGATCGTATCGACATCGCGATCATCCCACATTCCCGTTCCTGTATACCTTCGCCACCCTCGCTATGCGGCGCAGCTGTGCGGCTATCGCCGCCATTCTGTCACAGGTGTGTGCGGTACAGCGTTTTGCTGAATTCTGCGCGCGTTCATATTTGTTTTGAGACTTGCTTTATTTTACGTCCAGCTGTCTCACAAGATCTGAAGTTAAATGGCACCAACGGTGCCCTCACAGCCAGCGCTGAAGGCCACGTCGACGAAACGCAGCAGATATACAACGCTAACCATAGCAAAGGAAGCAGCCATCATTCAGCTAGTGCTCAGTGGTCGTCCGCAAGTCCAAGTTGCTCGAGAGTTCTACATTTCGAAGGAAACCATATCGGACTACATGAAGAATAAGGACAAGATTTTAGATAAGGACAAGAATAAGGACAAGCGTTGAGCATTTGGCTTAACGCTACCGTCGCTCAACGAATTCCCGTTTCTGGCCACCTCTTGAAGCAAAAGGCCGAGACATTGGCACTTCGCCTTGGCATTGATTGATAGATTTAAGTTCAGCGATGGCTGGCTTCGGAACTTTAAAAAGCGGTACGACCTTGTTTTCAAAAAAATGTGTGGTGAGAGCGGTGCCGTGGATAGAACACTGGTAGCGAACTACCGCGGTGGAAAGTTGGTAGAGCTGCTTCGGCGCTACTCTGCTGACGACACCTTCAACCTTGATGAAACCGGGCTTTTCTATAAGCTACTACCAGAGAAGACACTCGCCCGTTCTGGAGAACCTTGCCACGGAGGTAAACTCAGCAAGAAACGAGTCACTGTCGTTGTCTGCTGCAACGCTTCTGGCACGGAAAAGCTCCCGCTTCTGGTAATCGGGAAATCGAAAAACCCTCGATGCTTTAAGGGGAAAAAAAATCTGCCTGTTTGGTACGAAGCCAATACGAAGTCGTGGGTCGCGCAGAAGCTGTTCGCAGAGTATGTCGGAAAATTGGACCGAAAGTTTGTATTGCAAAAGCGCAAGGTCCTTTTGTTCGTAGATAACTGTACTGCCCACGCGCCGATTAGCTGTCTGAAAGCCATCGAGCTAGAATATCTGCTGCTGAATACGACCAGTATTCTGCAACCTATGGACCAACGTATCATTAAGAATTTGAAGGTGCTGTATCGTTCACGCATGCTGCAGCGCGTGTTTCTCTGCTTAGAGAGCCAGATAAAATACAACGTTGATTTGATGTCAGCCGTGAGCATGCTTGCTGATGCCTAAAAAGGTAGTGTCGGCAGGCACGACCAGCAACTGTTTCCGGCACGCAGGATTTACGTTGCATAGTGAGCCCGACACCGCCGACACTGCAGGCAAAGAACCCGACAATGCAACTGAAGAGCCGGACCTGCCGCCCAGCGCATCGAGCTCAGGTGCGGACGTTATCAACGACCTGCGAGGCTGTGGTGCGCCGATTCCCGACACTGTTACGGTTGAAGACTTTGCAAACGTCAGCAGTGCAGTGTCGTCGTGTGCCGAATTGAATGACAACGACATAATTGAGCAGGTTTTGCAACCACCAAACAGCGGTTTTGACTCTGACGATGATGACGCGCCGTGTGCTCCAGAGCCGCCGCATGCGGACTTGTCTCGAGCCCTCGCTGTTCTTTCGTCGTCGTACAGCGATCGTATCACACTGGCGGAGATACAGGCGGACTTGCGTGCACGTAAGCGGGAGTGCATGCAGCAACGCATTAACGACTTTTTTCGGCCACCGGTAGACTGAAGTGTCAATAAACGAATTTTTTTTTTATTCTGACGCATTCGTTTTTTCGGACTTTCGATAATTCGGACTTATTTGCGTTCCCCGTGGAGTCCGAATTATCGGTCGTCGACTGTACAAGCGTGCAATATGCACACAAAAAAAAATGTTTGTGAGGCATGCTTAAAAAATACAATGGAACAATACACTCGCATATGCTACTCCCAAGGTTTTAATATACAGCAGCTGAAATTCCCCTTAATGCCAGAAGGGCACACAACTTACCAACCACCGTCATTCATCAGTGGTAGTGACCCAACAGTGTTTAAGTGCTCCTGAAAACAGGTATCTGCAATGAAAGCCCACAGACTAACATTTCACAAAGTTGGTCTGTGGGTAACTCGAGTCACCATGCTGGGTACGAAACAGCCCTAAAATGATGACAGACATAAGGGCAAGAAAAATGAGTGCTGTCATTCTCAGGCCTGGCATTATCCGTTTAACATCGTTCAGAGAACATTTCATAGTTAGGTACGAGCATTAGGCTAGGCATTGTACAGGCGATTCTTAATTGACAAAGTCGGCGTCTCGATCTACATTGAACTGAACACACCATTTCATGAAAGATTTAGAGTTCCATTGTAAAAAGCCACTATCACTAAAACTTCTTCACAGTAACAGCTGATGCACATTACCATTAGGCTGATCCATATACAAAACATTGGAACAGATTCATTCACTAGTTGGCATTTGTTATCGTCAAACGTCACTATAACAAATCTGGATGTAACAAGGCATCAATTGTAACGAAGTAAATGAGAAACAAGTCTTGCAACAGCTATAATGCTAGGAGTGAACCTCTTATGACGAATTTTCGAATATAAAGAACTTATTTTCATGTAATATGCAACCTTGTTATAATGAGGTTTGAGTGTAATTCAAAGGAGTACAAAACTATGAAATGAGTTCGTGCAAGAACATGGGATGGTGGCTCCCATCGACAGGAGTTAATGTTATCAATACATGACATTAACTTTACGAGAAAGATGTTACACAAGTCGTTGCTTCTCTTGACATGCCCCCGAAGGCCTCTGGAGGACTTAAAAGCCCCCTTTTAGAGAAACACTCCACCAAGAGCACAGAATTCATTTCGAAACATGACACAGGTTCATTGCAGGAAGATAAGCACAAACATTCACAGAACCAGACATATCAGTGCTCGTTCCTTCACTACAAGGACAGACAGTCTGAAAAGGTACAACAATGTGACTGCCCAAAACTAACAAGACTTCCTCCAACAAGTGCACACATTATGGTTGCACCAACGAAAACAAGGTGACTTAGTTAACTGTAGCAATAATTGCGTAAGTTTCATTTATCTGCACCTGCCGGTACCACTGCACATCGAAATGCTCACACATGGAGTCAATATAAACTTGCCTCCACAAGATGCAACAGCGAAACTTCCAAGTCTCTGGACAGGACTGGGAGCCCTACTGACCGAAGCCTATCTCTACAATCAAAACTAGTGATAAGAGAAAAAAAAATTTATCACTGTACTTTCACAGCACTGTCACTGCAAACTCACTAGCTGAACAAGGAAGAAAAAAGTATTATACTGCCTTGGCTTTTAATTCTTTCGTAAGTTTGTTTACGGTTCACCTTCTACAGAAGGGACACCTTCACCAGCATGTCGAGCTGCATCGCACGCTGTGTACTGTGCAAAAGGCCGTAGAAATCGTTCCCAGCAGAAAGTGACATCGTTTAAACAACAGACCTCTGGTAGGCTTTTCATATCCTCCATGGGACTGTCACATGCCCATGTGTACTTGTTCTTCAAAGCCTTCAACAAGAGGCTATAGGAAACAAGAGAAACAAACAACACTAAAACCTGAAGCCTGACATTGAGAAAACCTAAACTTTACTCTGTCTTGCAACAATTTACAGACACCGGCGAAAGCCTAGCTGCCCTACATTTGTTCCGAGAAAGTTTCTGACCAGCAGCACAAACTTGACGAACTCGGGCAGTAGCGTGGCCCCACCTGGCCAGCACAACAGCCGAACTAACGCTGCCCTACGGCCAAACACGACAAAGCCTTGGACGGGCAAACGAGAGGGAAAGGTCAACTAGGAAAAAAAAAATTGAAAATAGATGACGCACGCTCAGGAATGAGATGATGTGGCAGCATCCCCGGATCCGCGCACGCAAAGCAGGGAGCGGCAGGCGTGCGTGAATGCTTGCCACCGTTCGCTGGATGCCTTCCTGCGGGCGGCCCGCCGCAGCAGGAACTGTCGCTCCTTCTCCCGGCGCCGGATCTCACGAACCAACGTGTGGAACACGTCGTCCACAAAGTGACGCAGCGCAGCCGATGTCTCATAGAAGGGGCAGTTCATTTGTTGCGCCAATGCCTGCCCCTCCTCAGTGGAAACCTGGGAGAAAAAGCATCCGCAGTGCTACACTCAAACCATCGATATAACAAACATTGTTATATCAAATTATTGGTCATAACTATGGCTTCAGGTTGCAGAAGTTTACTTTTCTTAGAATTCTAAGGGTTTTTAGTTGAAGTTTTATTTTTTCGGTTGATATTGCGCTGTTGATAGTAGCTGTCTTTTATAAATATACCATTGTCTGAAATTCAGAGTTCTATAATTCTAATAATTGTTAAGTTTTAATGAACCAAAACCACAAGTGGCAAGTTTCATTGCCTATAGGGGTTGCACAGGGTGCTTCAATATGGTGCCCACAGAGAGCATCAGAGTAGCTGAGCAAATGCACTGCAGTGTTTTTTTGTTGTTTTTTTAACAATGACTCTAACGTTTTTGTAGTCGCACATTATGCACCATCCAGAAGCTTCACAAACTCTGATACGATGCCTCGTTGAAGGCAAAGAGGTCCTGAATTCCAAACACATCAGTTGTTGTGGCGTGAAGGCCTGTAGCGCATCTATCGTTGTGTAAGGACCGCGCCTGCAGAAGTCTCATGTCTGCCAGAATCCACACAAAGTGCAATTCACGTATGACTGGGAAGTCCTGTATAGGAATGGTAGCTTGCTTTTCATCTTCGTGCTAATCGTGCCGGTCCACAAGACGTCCCTTTCGTGAATTGACGTTTGGCGACACAAAGTAATCTCACTGTTCTTTAATGTTCTATACATGTGTGCCATGGTAATGTGTTGGTTACGATTTTCTGCTCTGACCCGAAACGTCGCGTGTTTGATTCCGGCGGCGGCGGTTGCTTTGCGATGTAGGTGGAATGCGAGAGGCCGAGTACTTTGCGATGTCCCAGCACGTTGCCTTCCATTAAAACGTGCCTCACGATCACTATGTGGTTTGTCAACCAAGTGGCATCCATCCAGTGCCCCAAATAGTGTTATAACATTCTGTATTTCCTTTCACATCCTATGTTTTGAGCGAATACTTAGCGATGTAAGATTTCGCTAAGTTATCGCAATGCCGATATCTTTGACTTATTTTTGAAATGAGTCGTAGCTTTGCCACAAAGGCGAAGCAACGAACGCAATAGCTATAAATCAGAAGGTAACGTGCCGAATGGAAAGCAGATCAAAACGTGCCTCGCGTTTGTCACGCACAAATGACGCACGAAACGTACTCACAGGTACAGATGAAGGCGAATAAGCGTCTCATCTCTTACTTCGCTGTGTCTGAAAAGCGCACCCTTTTCCCAAACGTAGACTGTGCAAAGACTGCAGTGACCTTTGTGTGCCCGGTAACTACAGCAGAAATGTTCTAGTGAAAACCCAATGACAGCCAAGACATATATGCAAATGCTATGAGCACTGCTGCTCCACCACTACTCTGATGCTCTAGGAAAAAAATTACGCTGGCGGCGTGACAGTTTAGGGAACTTGTGAATATGATCATGAGAAATGCCGCAATGAAGGGCTCTGGAAAGCCCTTTGTTAAAGGGGCCCTGCAACACTTTTTGAGCATGGTAAGAAAACACTGCAGATCGGTAGTAGAGGCTCCCGACAACACGCGAGCCAAATCTTATAGCGCAGCATGCGGCCTGGAATTCACAATAAATTATCGAAGGCAGCTAAAGATTGCTTTCTCCTCTTTCAACAAATCACAGCAGACGCTCAAGAATCACTTGTAGCAAGCCCACCTATCAGCCAGTGGCTGATTTGAACATTGCGCGCTCAGTCGTTACAGATATCGCCAGGGGAGGCTGCGACTTGTCCACACGTAGGTGTGCAATCACACCGAAAAAGCCGCACATTCGAGAAACAAAAAATGCAAAAGTGCTCAAGGTCCCGAGGCGCGAGTGACGCATTTTCTTTGCCCATGCCACTCTCCCTGCTTAGCTTCCAGCGCTCTCGTCGGGACGAGAGAACGTGATTACAGCGAGCAACAAATCTTAGTAACTCCATTCATACTGGACGGATTTTTAAAATTTTTGCTCCATTTAAATTGTAAGGCAATAGCCTCTTCCAGTGAACTTATTCCATGGTTACTTGAAAAAGTGTGCCAGGGCCTTTTTAAATGTGAGATGGCTGTGGGCTACAAAATACCTATAACATCATATCAGCCAAAGTGGGCTATGTATCAACGACCCTTTAGACCATGTCCTTTGATAAAGAGTTAAACAAAGTCATAATGGTCATTAAAATCCAAGTTTATCGAATAAATACAAATTGTCAGAACTTTTAGCAATGTGTTTGCTGGATCTTTTTATTTATACCAAAACATGGAGCCCTAGTTAAACGATGTAAAAAGACAAACAGTGCCGTGAACAGAAAATATGGTTATAACAATCGTTTGAATACAATGAAAGTACCGTATTTACTCGCATAATCGTTACCCTAGTTTGGTCGCGGAAAATTCAATTTTTTTTAATTCCGCGCATAATAGGCGCACCCCGAACTTGGCCAAGATCAGAAACGATTCTACCCCCCAGCGGTACAGTTGGAACGCGGTCCCCGTACCCTGAAGAAAAAAAGAAGGCAAATCGACGAGCAAATAAAAAAAATTCGAAGTGCAACGACCTAACCAACGTGTTTGTCGAAATAAAACTTGAAAAAAAAAGCGTCCATGAGCGAAAAAAAAAACTGCTGTTTCATCAATTACTGATACCCCCCAAACTGCCGCGCTTTTTGGAGGTCTCGTGTACAACGCCGGGGGCTCGATCGCCATCACCACCATCAGAGAAAAAGAAAGAAACGCCATTTTGCAAGCGGTGTGCGTATGTTGTGGTCGTGTATTGAACCTTTGGTTCCACCATGGGGAAGTACGCGAGCTACACAGCTGGGTTAAACTGAAGGCAGTGCAGTACGCGCTGGAGCACGGCAACCGGGCTGCAAGCAGGCATTTCGGCGTTGGAGAAACCAGTATTTGGTACAGGAGGGACCAAGAAGAAAAACTTAAGGCGACGAAGAAGACACGACGGGCTTTCCGCGGTGCCAAGACCGGCAGGTATCCGAACGTCGAAGAGCAACTGGTCCGGCATATACGGAAGCTACGACAAGACGGCTGTGCTGTGTCGTTGGATATTGTGCAGACTGAGGCGCGCAGAATAGCCCGAGCGCAGGGCATCGGAGCAAAAGAGTTCAAAGCCAGCTCCGGATGGACAACTCGTTTCATGCGGCGCCATGGCCTCGCACTGCGAAGGCGGACCATCTTGTGCCAGCGCTTGCCCGCAGCATATGAGGACAAAGTGGTGGACTTCCACAGTTTTGTTATAAAGCTCCGACAGCAGAAAGACTTCATTTTGTCCCAGATCGGCAACGCTGATCAGACCCCCCTTTGCTTTGATAGGTCGTGGAACACGACAGTGAAGGAGAAAGGTGCACGGAGCGTCATCGTCAGAACGTCTGGCGCTGATAAACGATGCACCGTAATGCTGGCGGTGACAGCGGATGGGCGTAAGCTACCGCCTTACGTTATTTTTAAACGTAAGACGCTCCCAAAGGCAAAATTTCCTCAAGGCATCTACGTCAGAGTCCAGGAAAAAAGCTGGATGAGCGCGGAACTCATGGTGGATTGGGTGAAAACAGTCTGGGGTCGGCGGCCGGGTGGTCTGTTGTTGCCGTCCATGCTTGTCCTGGACAGTTTTCGTGGGCACCTAGTAGACCGCGTACGAGATGAGCTAAAGGAGCTGCGCACAGATCTGGCAGTGATTCCGAGCGGCCTTACATCGATACTGCAGCCTTTGGACGTGTCCTTGAATAAACCTTTCAAGGACAATGTTCGAAGGCTGTACACCACCTGGATGGCTGGAGGACAACATCAGCTGACTACAGGTGGTAAGATTAAGAGGCCGCCTGTGGAAATGCTGTGCGCTTGGATTGTGGAAGCGTGGCAGGCGATCTCCGACGAAGTCGTCAGGAAAAGCTTCAAGAAGACGGGTATCTCGAACGCATTGGATGCGAGTGAGGATGACATGTTGTGGGGTGCGGATGATTCGGACACCGAAAGCGAATCCCCGCTCGGCGAGGATGAATGTGTGATCTCCGACTCGGACTCCGAATAGGGAAAAGGAGGAACAGCTACGACTTTTGTGTAAATAAATTTTACGTGTGTGTGTGCAGTTGACGGCTCTCGCTTGTTCATTAAAAGGTACGTAGGTATGTTTGTTTTATGCTGAATTAATTGGTAAACGATAAAGTCGGCTTTTACTTGACAAGTGTGCAGATTTAAAGCGCGAAAACCGAGTTGAAAAAATTTTCGAAAATTTTACCCCGCGTAATTGGCGCACCCCTAACTTCGAGCCGGATTTTCTGAAAAAAAAGTGCGCCTATTATGCGAGTAAATACGGTATTGTCATCTCAGATATCATTTCTTCATAATGCTTGAGTATACTGGGGGAAACTTGCTAAACAAAGACACTGCTAGATATGTTTATTCGATGGCCCTTGGCGGAGCACGGACCACTTGCCCGAGCGTCAATTCTTTCAGAAAGAAGTCCGAAGAGGACAGCTCATTACACAGTTACAAAGCTAGTCGAGGTAAACAGCGCTAAAAATGAAGACACAGTAAAGGAAAGACACAAGACAAGCACTCTCCTTCCTTTACTCTGTCTTCATTTTTTGTGCTGTTACCTCGACCAGCTGTGAATCGTTACCGATTTGCTCAGTTATGCAATGCTACATGGTTACAAAGCTTCATTACAATTATCCCCAGGTTCGAAAAGGGAGCCAGCCCAGCGACCAAACAGCTTGTCACTAGTGAGTAAGTAATGGTAGGTCTTGAGGCGCTCCCCATTGAGAATGTCATGTCTGAAGATGATTCAGCGAGTTCAATGAAGTATTTAACCAGGGATTTGCACACGGTGACACTAGTAGGGGCCTTCGTATTCGGGCTGTAGTTATGATGAGAGGCCAGTTGCCGTAGTAGGGATTGAGAGTTGTACGAGCGCTCCTGGGGAAAATGCAGGCGCAGCGGCGGTGGTGTCACCTTGAATGATCTTC